ACTTCAGGTACCAAAAGACTGCAGCTTATGGACACTTTGGCCGGGAGGATACGGATTTCACTTGGGAGACTGCCAAGATACTCAAGCCTAATGCTTGAGTTAGTGGGCAGTCGGCTAGACTATACTTCTGCAAACTGAATTTACATACAAATCATTCAGGTTGCAGATGAATAAAATGAGCTATATGAGATATATTACATTATGATTCGTTATGGATTAACATTTTCTGCACTTGAATTTGAGGGATTTGAGAGCCTGGACCTTTTGTTACACGTGTTTCTTGTTTTTCTTTTTTCTTTTTCCATTTTCTCATCTCTCTTCTTTAGCCGATTGTTGTTGAAATATATATATTCGCAACAACGTGATTGTTTTGTGATACTATGTGTTACTCCTTTTTATATACCTGCTTACTTTTCGATCAAATGAAGTCACCCCTCACGATTAGAGGCTATGCTTGTGTAACTAAAACGCCGGCGTCCCGGATGACTGATTCCCAACCATAGTACCTTCAAACTACACACAAGTTATAAACCACACCACAACAAACGGTGAAACCATAACGTATTCGGTATTAGAACACGGGCATATCTTGGATTTATGTATGTAAAGTTTCTGGTTTGGTAATCGAGCTGTTTCGACAATACCTATGAAAGGGGTGGAGATTTTTAGATCAAATACTGATGCGTAAGTGGCTAGTGTATGAAAATAGTAGACCAAAAATGTGGGGACTTGCATTTGCATGGTGGTAGTATATAATTTGGAGATAATTAATTACGGTTCGTTTGATTGCAAGGGTAAAAAATGAATGGAAAGAAAATGAATTCTAGGAAAAGTAATTACCTAAAAATTGTTTTGCAGGGAATTGTTAATTAAATGTGTTTGATTTGTATAATTTTTCACTTGAAAAATTTTTAAATTTTGTGTTCGTCTGGCTTTATTTTACATGAAAATTGTCCATTAAAATGACATTTTCTTCTACAATTGGTTATTAAAAAAAAAAATTGTTTCCACAATTTGACTTCGTTTTACATGTAAATTGAGCATTAAAGTGAATTTTTTTTTTTTTTTTTTACAATTGGTTATAAAATTTGTTTATATTGTAAAAAAAATAAAAAAATAAAAAAGATGGCAGAACCTGGAATGGTGGGAA